GCTTTATATCAAATCTTTGTTCTGCTGTCAGTAGAGAACAAAACGAGCGCAATATCAAATCTTTGTTCTGCTGTCAGTGGAGAACAAAACGAGCTTTATATCAAATCTTTGTTCTGCTGTCAGTAGAGAACAAAACGAGCGCAATATCAAATCTTTGTTCTGCTGTCAGTGGAGAACAAAACGAGCTTTATATCAAATCTTTGTTCTGCTGTCAGTGGAGAACAAAACGAGCGTGATATCAAATCTTTGTTCTGCTGTCAGTAGAGAACAAAACGAGCTTTCCGAGTTGCAGCGCTAAAGTCGCGGTAGACAGAACGTATTACGTAGCTTTGCGCTATGCAAATAGAAAATATAGCATAACACACAAGCCCCATGACAGAAGAACAAAGATTTGATATCAAACTTGGTTTGTTCTACGCTGATAGATTTAATATCATGCTCAGTTTTCTCAGCAGAAACCAAACAAATATTCTATATAGAGCCCTTGTTTGTTCTCCACTAACAGCAGAACAAAGATTTGATATCGCGCTCGTTTTGTTCTCCACTGACAGCAGAACAAAGATTTGATATCGCGCTCGTTTTGTTCTCTACTGACAGCAGAACAAAGATTTGATATCACGCTCGTTTTGTTCTCCACTGACAGCAGAACAAAGATTTGATATTAAAATTACCGCTGATGTACCATGGAATAGTAAGCTAAAGAGTATTTCAAATGGAAAATGAATGTTAGGATGGATTAAGCCAGGTTGGTTGTTAAAGTTTTTCATGTATGAAGAACAGATGTCTCGCAAAAAAATGTGACGCAGTGGTTAAAAGTATTAAGTAATTGATGTTTCTCTCAGAAATCGCGTAGTAACGGCCTTTTGCTATTCAGGAACCCCCCAGTAACGGTTTTTCTCTCTTCAGGAATCACTTAGTAACGATTTTTTTTTCTCTTCAGGAATCACTTAGTAACGGCATTTTGCTATTCAGGAACCCCCCAGTAACGGTTTTTCTCTCTTCAGGAATCACTTAGAAACGGCCAATTGCTATTCAGGAACCCCTTAGTAACGGTTAATCGTCATTCAGAGATCACTCAGAAACAGCAAATTGTTCTTAAATAGAAGCATACAACGATCTAACAATGTTGTTGATCATAAGAGGCGGAAGTAACAGGTTTTGGTTTTGTTTACTGATACAAATTGATCAGTTTTGTCATTATATTTTACAAAATTGAGAAACTATTGAGATTTAGTTATTTGTTTTGGCTAAAACCTAATTATAGGTCATAGCAGCTAACAGCGGCAACAACTATCTCTACTGTGTAGGCGACATCATCTTACAGGGGCAACAACTATATTAACTGTATAGGTCACAACATCTTACAGGGGCAGCAACTAAATTAACTGTATAGGTCACAACATCTTACAGGGGCAGCAACTAAATTAACTGTATAGGTCACAACATCTTACAGGCGCATGTTGGTTGTTCGTCGAATTCGACGATGACGCTAATTGTGCACATCTCGATGACTCCACATGCGGCCTAGCAGTCCAAAGCTGGATGCACACAGCTGGTTACAGATAAGGCATGGAAAATCCTAAGTCGAGATAGTAAAAGATGTTGCATGTGGCCTTTCTCTCTTGCAGTGGCGAGACGTTGTTAGCTGTCGTCCTCTAGTTTCGTAACGGTTTTGTTGGTAAGTAAACGGCAGGTGGGTCTATCCTTGACTAAATCTTCCAGCAGGTGAGGCTGTATCTTGCACCACTTGAGGTTGCACTTTAGAATGTCTTTATAGCGTTTTGGGGGCATCTTAGGTTACACTTGCCTTGCTTCAGCACCCATAGAAGAGCTGCCTCGGGATTTTGGTTTCCTCCATCCGGATGACATCTTAACTGTACAGGTCACAGCAGCTTAAAGGGGCATAAAATATCTTAACTGTACAGGTCATAGCAGCTTAAAGGGGCATAAAATATCTTAACTGTACAGGTCATAGCAGCTTAGAGGGGCATAAAATATCTTAACTGTACAGGTCACAACAGCT